CTTCTCAACCCCTGAGAAATCAATAAATTATCATTTAAAACATTTTAAAGATGAAACCTTTCAGTTATTTTGCTTTGCAAAAAAAAAAAATTAAAAAGAAAAATGAAAACAGCTGTTTAGATTCCCATCACCCTTCTGAAAAGCTCAGGAACATTTTGAAGAAATATTTTATACATTTTTTTTTATAAAACTACATTTATAATTTTATAACAATGTTTTTATAAAATTGGTGTTTATTTTCTCATTTCTGTATTATCCTATTTTTTACACTCCTTATATTTCTAGAAATGTTGTTTATCTGATACAAACAAATGATATAAACTTAAATGTTTGTTTTCACTAACAAAAACAAATGTTTAGTTAGTAAAACATTTTCAAAAAGAATTCTGCTTGTATGGTTTTAATAACGTGAAAAAGGTTGGAACATTTTGTAGATATTGTGATTCATGATTAAACAGAAAAGAAGCAAAATGTAAAAAAATAAGATGCAGAGGCTTATTTAGCTGTGACTTCAGCTTAGAAACAGAATATGCTCCTCACAACATTTGATAAATATTTAAGAGGAAATGTACAAATATTGGCAAGTATGTATTTTATTAGTTTATGAAACAAAGTTAATTATATTTTACCGTTTTTTGTTTTTCAGGACCCTGCACTGTGAACGAGGAATTACTGAGTAACCATGGTCTTCGGTTTAGACTTGGCAGTGAAACTAAGTTGTATGCACTACATCTGGATCACCTTACATTTGTTTGTGTTAGGGGTAAAAGACATGATGGCGTTGTGCCGTTGCGTGTTCAGTGTAATGATGGTCTGATGACCCTGCCCACCTGTCGGTAAAAGTTTTCAGGGAGCTAAATATAGACATGTAATCACAAAAATATGTAAATTGCTTACAACTACTATGCTCAAAATTAAATAAATATTACATTGTAAAATGAGAAACTACATTAATAAATAACAGATAAATATATATGACAATGAAATTGTGAAATAACTGAACGAATATTAAATTATTTGCTCATTACTGTGAAATATTCCTTTTTAAAAATGTGCTTATTAAAATAAACCATTTTACTGTGAATTATTTTCTCTATCATAGCAGTTATTGTGCAACTTTTCTTTAATTCCTGCTGTTTTTATTCCAAATCGTCCTTTTTGTTTTTCAAAGCCACCTTTTATTTTATATGGTTTTGTTCAGTAACACCCCATTTATTTTATAGAGGAACCTTTCAGGAGAACAACTTTATCTGTCAATCAGCGTCGGTGTTTGGGACCAGCACACCCATTGGTTTATCCTTAAGCATCAGTTATCTTTTCTGGATAATGCTCTCTGTGCAGCTAACAACACAGCAGGGAGCTAGAAATAGCTTGGTAGGTCAGCGATGCATAAAGTTTAGCTCTACTTACTCTAGCAGATCAAACTGCCCCACAGTTACTGACAGCAACAGAAAAAGAGGCAACTCCAACTACCTCTCCGATGCCCTGTTCAATATGGCCGCTCCTCGCATCGACAATGGTAGTGAGTGGTGAAAACACATGAAAAAGTGTCTAAAATAAACATTAGATGCAGTGAACAAATTAAAAATGATGTTTGCTTATGGAAAGTAGAACTTAAAATTATGTTTGCCAGATCTGTATCTATACAATGTTTATGGATGTTGCCATGTTGAAATTCCAATTTCTTTACTAGAACACCATTACCTCAGGTCTGATGTTAAACCCAACTCCAACTTTCAGCTTCCCAGTTAAAACTGGAACACAGCACAAGTTTTTCCTCCGTCAACATTGTTGATTATCCATGAATGAGGCACCCGGTGGTGACTTGGGTGACCAAAGAGGAATTGGCATGTTGGAAAAAAATACATTTCTGAAGGTGGAGCTTCAGAAACAGCAGAAGTTTCTTAAAGAGACAGAGGCCCAATTTCAAGGCGCTAAATCACAAAGTAATTTATTTTAAGTCATATTTTATATATATAGCATTTTTATAATTGAAGGCAACATAGTTACTTGATTGTGCTATAAATCAAGCACAACCTTCATCATTAAATAAAAACATAAATGCTTCTATCACTAAAAGCAAAAACCTTCTTGTTTTCATAATTTTTTGCATTTTAAGTGTATTAATCTCTATGTTTTTACTCTTTCTTTTTTAATTATGTCAGTTTTGGTCATCCGTAGGTGGGTACACATTGGAAAAAAAAACAAACAGCTGACATAAGTCTGGGCTGTCCATGTCTGACCCTTTATTTGCTCCAACAGAAAACACAGTGGAGCTAATGAGTAAACTTCTCAGAAAACCTCACTTCAGCAGGCAATGAAACCTCTGTGGTTTATCTTCCTGGTTATCCAGGTTTTTGTAAACTTTACATTTTCCTGGTCACAGAATGGTAAGAAACTGTTTTTTACTTGTTTATTAAAATCACAGGTACAGAAAAAACACAAAAAAAAGTCATGTTTTATTTCCTTAAGAAAATTGTATTATTAATTTGGATGTTTACATATACATTATTTCTGGAATTTAAAAAATAGCTGACAATAAAATAAATTATATGTGTGTCTTATGATTCTCTCTTTTACTTTGTGACAGAATATTCTTATTTTGCTGTTGTCCTGATTGGGTTTTATTTAATTTTTTTGGTCTGATCATATATAAAACCTCACTGTTTTTAACTGCTTTTAAAGATTAATGCTGGACTCAGATTAAAACTTGGTATGTGTTAGCAGTTACAGAACATTATTAAAGATGTCTTTTTCTTTGTGTGTTTTTTGAGCTCTATTGGGATCCCAATAGATAAATGATAATTATTATTTGTTGTTTCAAGTTCATTTTTATCAGACTTTTTCAGGTCAACAGGCCTGATCAGAAGCATATCCAATAGAAACACACTGCTATTTAAATTTGTGGTAAAAATTATTTACTAAAACATTTATGTAATTCCCCCTAAATTGTGAGATAAACTTTTTGGTCTTAAAAATTTGGTCTCTTAGTATTAAAATGGAGGTAGCCTTACACAAAATGTCGACTCTGCTAACTGACCCAGATCCAATTGACCCTGATATTTGGAAGTTTCCTTATTTTTTCATTTAAATTCCAAACATGTTTTTTTTATTAACTCCCTGCCTTATTTTCAGTGAAAACTTGTGAAACCGGCGTGCTGCACCCTCATCTGTATGTCGCTGGAATGACATCAACTTGTGAAGCAATCAAAGCTGGACACAAGCTGCGTTTTC